AAAAAAAAAAAAAAAAAAAAAAAGTCATAAATTGTCCCCATTGTTGGAAATCGTTGCCGAGCCTCTTGCGACCCCCGAAAAGTTTGGGTACTGGCCAGCATCACGTGATTTCCCAACACTGGGGGAGGTAATGGTGGTTTAATGATCTGAAAGTCAATTTCGTCATTTTATCATATCCTACAATTCCTCTGATTCTCAATCTTTCCTGCATTTAACTCTGGATTCAAATTTCTAGCTGTTCTAATTGGGAAAGGAGATCACTTCTTTTATCCGACCAGTATAGGTCTTTAAATGGGTCTGTCTACGCTGTTCCCATTTTTGATTCTTTTTCTTTTATGGCCTTCATTAATGATTTTTCTTTCCAAGATCCGCCTGCTGATTTCATACGTGAGAATCTTATGAGGGCTGACTGAATGATTACCATTCTTGTTGTCGATCAAGTTCTTTCGATCTTCTCGATCTCATAAGGGAAGTCGTGATCATGAAAAAAGTGTAAGGGACGCCAGACCCGTTTCCTGCCCTTCTGTAATAAATTTTGTAGTACGATACTAGTATCTCAAAACAATAAAAAAAAACTTGCAAGGGCCAAAGAAAAAGCAAAAGACACGACTGTACTTGAACAGGATCTATGATGTAGGTCGTACACTTTCCTGTATCTACGAATACAGATGACTCACTCAGCCTGCATGGATAAAAAAAAAAAGGAAAAGAAAAAGGATGAAGATGTGGACTGCGACCATCCAGCACATTTCTCTCAATTTTTCCTCACCACTTCTACTTATAGGCATACAGGGAAACCCGTAGCATACCAGAGCCGTGTTTTTACGGCCCCTCGAGCCTGCATTGAAACGATTTTCACCTTTTAGCAGTACCGGATGCGGTACCCATGTACAGATCCGTAGACCTCGCCCTACCCATGTACAGTATCTGTGTAGACCCCGAGCATTGAACCTGTGACCTGTGTATTCGTAGGCAGTTGGTGAACCTGTCGTAGGTCCATAGACAGCAGGGGTTTGATTTGTAGGTCTATAGCGTAGGAGTCTTAGTGAGTTATGGAAGCTTAGCTGTAGACCTTCTAGAAGGTAGGCAAGTGGGCAAGTGGTGAGGCAAGTGGTGGACTAAACCGCAGTGCAACAGCAGTACAACGTCAGTGGGATAGCGGTGAGTCCACAGTCAGTCAGCGGAAGGTCCTGTCAGTCCCAGTCCGGTCCAGCAAGTACCACAGGGGGACTGTGAGCACCAAGGGCCGATGGCAAAGGGCAGACCAACGAGTTTCTGAAGTATAAATCAAGAGGCAGCGCCCAGCCATTCATTCATTCCTGCGKGAGCCATGCGGAAGCGCTGCCACAGCGACTTGTGCAAGGAGGTCTGCAGATGAGCCCGGAGGACGCAGTGGGCAAGAGAGGAGGAGTAGCAAAGCGATAGGTTAGAGGGAGCCATAGCTGCCATAGCTGTAGTTAGTAGTGAGTGTGTGTGTGTGCTCGAGTGTTAGAGTGATGCGTGTGGGATATCCAGGGTGCTCCAGTGTATGTGAACAGTGAGATGTTTGGGCGCTGAAGTCGCCATAGCCAATTGAGAGTGAACTCATATATGAAAGCCATATCTCTAAGTTTTGAGTGGGCGCATGTCGCCAGTATACTACGTTGCTGTTTACATGCGTGAAAAGTGTGTTTGAGAACGAGTCTGATTGCATTGGTATCGGAGATGGTACCCGCTATTCCATGCGTGCCGTCGTATGCAGGGCCTGATGGGCCATAGCCGAGGTGGCAGCCGAGGGAGATAGTTCGCCATAGCGGACCTGAGGTTGAAGAAGCTGCCGCGCACCTGCAAGAAGACACGACGAAGAAGAAGACCGAGACAGAGAGCGAGAGCGAGCGAGAGAGAGAGAGAGAGAGAGAGAGAGAGAGAGAGAGAGAGAGAGAGAGAGAGAGAGAGAGAGA